GAAAATGCAATGTATAGTGTACAAAAATATGGATTGGTTTATTGGTCTTTTTCTTGGTGAGCTTAATATATTGATTTGAAAGCAACAAAAGGAAAACACCACTGTGCATTTCAACCCTCATATAGAAAGTTTACACTTTACATATAGAAAGTGTCAGTCATCTCTTAAGTTACTGTTTGATTTGACTTGTTCAGTTAACTCATTTGCAAAGAACAGCAAGAAAGTAGATACTCCAGGAATAACACAAGAGCACGCACACACACACACACACACATTCAAAACACACCTGCCAGGTGACACAATGCCTGGGTTCACTGGTGCGTATTGTCACATGATAACAGCTCCACCATTGCTGGCCGACCTTTCTCCAGACTCCACCCCTTGTAAAGTCACATGGGACCAACTCCTACACAAGCACAAGGAGTGTCAGATATCACAGAGTTTTCTCTAGAATCAGGTGACACATTGAAAGCCTGTAGTTATTATTCATAATCGAAACGTGTTGGCTACATTAAGAAAAGACATTGAAGTCCAAAAACTCTGAAGACAGGAAGGACTGCATTTGAATTATAGAGGTGGGTCTGTACTCATTGACCTGTGATGAATGTAGATGATGTTCCAAAATGTGTTTTTCATGGACAAAAGAGGCAGCTGTTAAATTGACAAATTCATGAGATTATACTTTTGGTTTAAACACAGTATTTGTCAGCTGTAAACAGATGTAGTAGTTGAAGAGGGAGTTTAGCAGCTGTTTTGTCTGCCGGAGCTCACCATGTCGGGTGAAGATCCAGTTTTACCACCAGACCTTTCTAGGAAGAAGGAAGTCTTTGTGACATGTCATATCCTAGTGTTGTTGAATGTCACAAAACTGGACAGACAAACATGCAAAAAAAAAAAAAAAAACTGTTGTTTTAAGAATATTATTTGAATTTATTTTTTTATTATTTATTGTATTTATTTAGTTATTATATTTCATTAAGCACACAATATGAGGTCATATCAATGATCTTATGACGATTATTTCACTTTAACATTCATGTCAAATTCTTTCACTTGCCAAGTGCTAAAATACTGGTTTTTGTTTTATCATCAACATCAAAAAGTCTGAATTCTGAAAAAAAAATACTGAATAGCTTTTTGACTTTCTTCTTTCTTTCTTTCTTTCTTTCTTTCTTTCTTTCTTTCTTTCTTTATTGGATTGTAAACCAACTATCTTTTACTTGGATATTATTGGATTGTAAACCAAATGTCATAAACATATGGTTTAAAATTTTTATGTGTATTTGCAAGATTTGTTTTTGTGCATAGAAAATTAAAGTTCATATTCACATGTAAACATTTATCATTTGAATTCACCCAGATATGAAAATTCTGTCAACATTTACTTACCTTAATACCATTCCAAAAGCATACGACTTTTAAGATTATGATACAATATAAATAAGATATTTGAATATTAAAATATTCTCTAATCTTTTTTGTGCATACATTAAATGTTCACGCAACCAAAATGTTCATGCATACAAAAAGACATAGTAAATATTAATCAAGTGGTTTAACCCAAGTCTTCCAAAGAGGCACAATTGTTTTATTTGATGAGCAGATTTAATTTAGGCTTTTATTCATATAGGAACACTGGTCAATATACATACATAGGGCACATTAAATATGGTAAAAATATTTTAAAAGCTCAACTGTGCTTGTGATTATGCCTCTTCAGAAGAGTTAGATTAAAGAGATGATTACTTTTACTATGTCTTATTGTAATTTTTGATGTTTGAAGTTTGATTGCAAGACCTTTCAATGGAGGGACAGAAATCTAACAGGTTTCATGGAAATAACATTTCTGTTTTGAAGATGCACTGAAGTCTTATGGTTTTAAACAAACATGAGCATGGGTAAATAAAACGACACAATTTTAAGAGTAAGGTCACTATGCAATTACATTTGTAATTGCATGTGGGTACTGCAAATGTAACTATAATAATATAGCTGCAAGCAGCAATGACCGGGGTTCAAGCATTTTAAGGCCTTTAAGGTGGTATGTTTTTAGGGTCTAGGCCAACCTAGATGTATGGCTTACAGTAAAAGACATCCAAAACGGAGAATAGGCCCGCAGATACATACATACAAAAATGAAATGGTTAAACTATTATATTAATACTCAATAAGCATGCTTACACACACACACACACACACATACATACATGCAGAGACACACACATGTAAAGAAATAAATTCACACACATGTTGTTGCAGATATAGATATTTGACATAAATGATAGGTGACACAATACTTATTGCAAGTCTTCTCTTTTTAGGAGTTTATATGTCATCTTCAGGTTTCACTGTAATCATAATATGGCATAATTGTAAAAATGTATATGTCTGTATGAACAAAATGGTAAACTATTAGTAAATATGATTTTAAATGTTTTAACAGTGATTTTATCATATGTAAGCATGAATCCATCAAACCTTTGAACAGTACTGTTTTAGTGCATTTAATGAGGCCATTAGTGGTCTTCCGCTGCCATCTAGTGGTTATAAATGCAATTTCTCATACAACACTGTGTTTAACCTTTATAACTATTATAGTGTTATTTTTTGCCCAATTTCTCTTAAATTTTGCATGCTTATTAAGAATGAAATTATGCATCATTTTACACAGTTTTTAGAGACATTGTGGGCTTTCTTTTAGGATTTTAGGCCTTTGGGGACACAATCTAAAGAACATATTATAAAATGGCCGGTTTATAGTTGTCCAAATGCAAATGTTCAACAATTTTTTTGATAATTATTGACCTAGAGAGTCTAGAGAATAGTACTGTACTGATTTGATTGATTTTGAGTTAAAAACCGAGGACAAGTTCACAAACGTAGGTTTTTTAAATAATCTCAAATATTTAATGAACAGTTTGATTGACAGCATTGGTCCCAGAGGCAAAGTTGTTCAGAATGAGGAGATCTAACATATGATGTAAAGATCTAGTGTGTTTGTTAATACATGAACATGTTCTACAATTTGAGGTCATTTTCTATACAAATATTGTATTTTTGAGGCCTTGTCAACTATTATAGCGCCACCTATGATCCGATCTCCACGAAAGTTTGCATGCTTGTTAAGAGTTATTGAACACATGTTTTCACCAAGTTTCGTAAAGTTTTGAGTTTTCGTTTAGGTTTTATAGGTTTTTGGGTATATTTGACCACACCCTATTCTAAATTACCCCGTTAAAAGGCAACCAAAGGACAAAATTCAACATGTTTTTGATAATCATTGATCTAGAGAGTCCAGTGAATATTACTGCAGTGGTTTTATCAAGATTGAGCGAAAAACCTAGGACTAGTTCGCAAAAGTAGGTTTTTAACATATTTGTGAATAATTAATGAACGATTTGATTGACAGTAATGGTTCTTGGGGCAAAGTTGTGCATTATGAGGAGATCTATCAAATTATATGGATATTGTGTGGATTTTTGAAACACCACGTGATTACAGAGCCAAAAAACTCGTTAGCGCCAACTAGTGGCCGATTTCTTTCAAAATTCTTACAGACCTTTAGGGCCATGAGTCGAACATGCCCACCAAGTTTCGTTCCGATCGACCTCCGTTAACCTTGTCAAATATGTGCTTGTGCCCCTTCGGACAAAGACACTGCATACCAATTTTCAAGTTGATCGGACCAACGGTTGCCTAGTTATAGTTTCTTCGATCTTATAGCACCACCAAGTGGTAGATCTGTGCATTATTTTTTTGACTAAAAATTTAGCTCATACACATGTGTACCGAGTTTGGTGAAGATATCTCATTTCGTTCACAAGTTATAGCCCTTTTCGTAAAATTGGCCCGCGACTTTCGAACGTTTTGGCGTCCCATTGAAACAGTGAGTCGAAATTTAAACTTCGTTTTGATAATTATTGATATTCACTGTCCAGAGAATATTTCTGCAGTGTTTTGATTCCGATCGGACAAAAAACCTAGGACTAGTTCGCAAAATCATAGTGGCCATTTTGCCTTGACCCAAGGATTCCAAAAATGTTAAATTTTTGAGTCTACGACAAGCGATTTAGGAGTTATTAGCACTTACGCGTTGTTGATCGCTGTAGCGCCTCCTATTGGCCGATTGGAGTGAGTCTTTGTCAGAATGTCCCCTCAGGGAGCTCTACCTTCTGGCCAAATTTCAGCTCTCTACGCCTTACGGTTTGGTCAGCACTGCGTGCTTGAACCCCTAATTAACAAAATGTATGTACATAAAGTTTGCACATACATGTACTGTATATACATTAAACATTAAGTCCTTTAATTGTTTATAGGTGGCAGCACAAGCACTGTCTGGTGGAGTTGTTTGGACACTAAAAAAAAAAAGCTACCACTGGACAAGTACCCTTTCAAAAGGTATACCTTTGTACCTTATTTACCCCTAAAGGGTATACTGTATATTTAGTACCTAAATGGTACATATTAGTCCCTTTTGAAAAGGTACCATCCCACTAACAGCTTTTTTTCTGGGAGTGTAGGAATATTTTGTTTGTTCCATCTCGGTTACTGTTTGATGCACATGATATCATATACTGGTATTCAGGTTGTTGTGTTTTTGATGATTCAGTGTTTAAGTCTTTGCTTTGGTTATGTCAATCATTGCTTAGGAAGTTTATCAAAGTTTACGATCAAAGGTCATTATTTGCAGCACTAAAGGAAATTTGACATCTGATATGCAAAATATGCAATATATGTTTATTTGAGACAAAAAGTAATCCACAATTTCTTTTTAAAAGTTATGATGGGTCCGTTTATAATTCTTAATCAAATTATTATTCAGTTTACTAAATCATTCCCATTCTCTCTCTCTCTCTCTCTATCTTGCTCTCACTCTTATTATTTTGTGAGGATAAAAATTACTTTTGGTTTTTTATTCACTCTGTTCTTTGTTTGCCAAATTGTAGACTTTCATTTGTTGCTTTTCTTGGCCATTGCTTTAGACTGAGCAAGTGAGTGAGACTGGAAAGTATTTTCACTGCTTTGAAGCCAGGAAAGTCAGACATAAAATCACATAGAAAAAGTGCAGACAACAGAATATCAGGACACTGCATCTATTAACAGCGGGACAAAACAATGAAAGGTAAATTTGGATGAATCACTTAAATGTTAGTAAAATAAGAATAATAATAACAACACTTTTTGCATGCATATATTCAGTTTTTTTTATATGCATTAATCCTGTTTTCTCATATTTGTTGTCTTGAAACTATATTAATCAACAAATGATTTATATAGTTTTACTATATGATATATGTGTGTTTTAAATCTGTGTTGATATATAGTGTTAGGTTTAGTCAAATGTTCAGTGAGTCAGTCGCACCTCTCAGGTCAACGTCCTCTGAGTCTCATCGTTAATAACCACTGCCCTAGTTGGTGTGGCTGTTATTATGTATTCTATACTTTTCAGCCAATGAATGAATCAATCAATAAGTAGAACTAATACATTGATCACAAAAGAGTTTGCATTGCCTGTGTATTCCTTTCAATAAAAAATACATTTTAATAAACCTTTTTTAAACAACTAAAATTTATAAAAATTGTATAATTAGTACATCCATATTCAAATTTTCATGTAGCAACAGAAACACTTTTCATTCAGTACTTTACTGCTTTATATATTGCCGGTATGTACAATAATAACAGAATGTGCCAGCTGACAGCTCTCAAATCTCTCTTGCTGTACTTGGCATATGTCACAGTGATGTGGTGTTGGCAACATCTCATCTCAATGCATGGTACTGGCATGCACTGTTTCAAGTCAAAAGAAAACTGGTCTGTGCAGCAATGCATGAAGTCAAACACACCTATAGACTATACAGTCAAACCAAAATGTATTCAGACACCTTGAATATTTCACACATTATCACAGTTTATTCGTTATAGTTTAGAAAATGGTAATAAAATATGACAATAACAAATTCATCTTGATAATGTCAGATAACACTTAAGCAAAACATGGTCAGGTCAAAGTGTCTGAATAATTTTTTGTCCCAAATTTTTTATCAATTTTATTAGAAGTCCACTGTATGAAGAATTTTTGGGTATGTCACAGTTTACTTTATTTTGCTATCCTCACTAGTAAATATATAAAAAATTATATCTGGTGTCTGAATAATTTTTGGTTTGACTGTACATATCAGAACATTTGGTGGTGCTAACATGTTAAAAAGCAGTACTAAAAACTTGATGTGCTTTGTGACATCAGCTGCGCTTCGCCTTGCTGATTGGTGAGATTTTTGGCTTGCAGTCATAAGTGGAGTTGAAAACGCTCTGGTTACTAATTAACTTTGGTTCCCTGAGAAAAGGGAATGAACATTGCGTTAATACATTTATGGGGTAACTCCTGTTTACTCTGATTTGTTCACATTCGTGTAGCTGCTTTTCGTCAGAATCTTTTGAATGATAGCGACAGTCATCGACTCGCATGCAGCCCTATAGCACAGCAGCCTACACAATGCTCATTCCCTTATCTCAGGGAACTGAGGTTATGGCAGTAACCAAAGTGTTCCCTATTGAACGGTTGATACACTACAATAATTTCTCCACTTAAAAGGTAATTAGGTAAATTAGGTGGACAAAATCCAGTAGCCACACAAATATCACCAATAGAAACTCCGCTGGACCATGCCCAGGAGGAGGCTATTCCTCTGGTGGAGTGGGCCCTCACTACAATAGGTGTAGTGACACTGTAAGCCCAAAGAGGTGTAAGCCAGGGCTATAGCGTCAACTCTTCAGTAGGATTATTCAGTCTCTGCTTCGTAACTGGCAGCCATTTAAGAACTTAACGACATGGATGTTTTTGCTGATTGACTGGCCAGCCACGAGAATGTTATTCACCGCAATGGCTGCGACATACACTTTGAGCGTGGAAGGGGCGCGCCCCTTATCCAGCTGCTCTTGCAGAAAGGTTAGCACGGATGGTATGTCATAAGAGGACGGGTCCTCATTCCGTGCTGTACACTAATCAGAAAAGACTAACCACTTGAGGAGATAGTGGCGTCTCATAGATGGGGCTCTACCCTCCAAAATAGTGTTAGTCACACTCACAGAGAGCTGCAAAGACTCCCGTTGAGGGGCCATACATGAAGGTTCCACAGTTCGGGCCAGGGATGCCAGATCATGCCTTTTGCTTGAGAGAGGAGGAATTTAATTGAATAGAATTCCTCAATAGAATTGGCCACGGAGGTGCCGATAGCAGCTGGATTAACTCGAGGAACCATGTTTGATTCCTCCAGAGTGGGGCCACCAGGAGGACCGAGCAATCGGAGGGAAAGGTGTACAGTTGAGTGCTGGGCCCTGCCCGCTAGAGCAGAAGTGGTCCTGCAAGGCTTGGATGGATGCACCGCATGGTCCTTCAATCCCAGGGCCGATGGAGAGCACAGATGTGCAGCGACCGCCTCTTCCAGAGGAAGAGACTTGCCATAGCCCTTCTCTTCAGTGTTGTTAACGGATGTGAGGGCAGCAGAAGTGCAGGAATGAACTAATGCCATATTGGGGGTGCACCACATCCTGGTAAGTTCATTGTGAACGGGAACAGCCTTTGGTGGTAGGATCGTTGACGGCGTGCTGTTTGCAGGTACCACTTGTCTAAGTGGGCTCTTCCGGCTTTAGTGAGGATGCAAATCAGCTTGCTGTCCACGCTGGTCCGTGTTGAATCTTTGGGAGGAGGGGTGCCAGTATCCTCACCGGAACACAACCACTCTTCTGCATCCGAAGCTGTCAGTGAAATGGAGTCATCGGTAACAGCTTCCTCCTCTGATCCGCCGATAGAGTTCAAGCTGCTTGCTACTGACAAGGGACAGTGTATGAAATACACTGGTGAATTGAGGCACTACAGGAAGAGTGAGGTACACGGGACCTGTGCTGGCATGAGTTCACGTAAGCCTGATAAATCAGTCCCGTTGCCCCGCTGTTTCGCTTCTGGGAAGAGAGAGACGGGGGAGGACAGCCTTCATGAAAGAAGGTGATCCATGAGCAAAGCAAGGTGAGACTCATGCTCTCGCAATGAGAGCACTCTATCTCAGTGAGCGCAGCCTCAGCGTGGGAACTGCCCCGGCAAGCGACGCACTCTCTGTGCCTGTCTGAGCCACACTCACGGCACAAAATTTGAAACAATGCTGCCGTGGAAATTTACTCTTTGAAAATGCTCTTTGAGATCCCCGGATGGTGGCATGGGAAGCGCTGATGAGAGGTGTCCTTCCACTGCTGGGGCCCTTCTACACCGAGTAGTAGGCTTCGAGCTTCTTGCTTCTTCAGAGTCCAGCGCGGAGATGATGTACTCGAGTTGAAGGAGAAAATTGTGATGAAATGGCACTCAGAGCTGACTTATATAGCAGTCGGCTCCACCCCTTTTGTTGGGCTGAAGCACCATTTGTTGATGCAGCTACACGGACGTGAACAAATAAGGCTTCGGTATCAGAGTAAACAGGAGTTTCCCCGTAAGCCTATCAATGCAATGGGAAAGACCGTTCAATAGGGAACAGGGATAACTTATTTCATAATGTGATTTAGAATTAGTGACACATATGGGTAATTTTTCATTCAGGTAGGTCAGCTACATACTGAAGTTGGTAAAAAAAGAGGTTTTAATAGAAACATTGAACTATGTTCTAATGACAAGTGTGTCATGGGCCAAGTTGTCACACGTTTTAGATGTTAAAACATTATTTAGTGTTTAGGACATTTGTTAGGCCAAACTATTACTTGAAATGTTTGTTGTACACAACAATAGTTTCAGATTTCTAAATGCTACCTTTTACATGTTTGCTGTTCCATTAACTGTTTTGTGTTTCATATTTGATTTTCTGTTTGGCAGAGATGGATGTGGGGCCATTTAGCAGGAAACAATGGGCATCACAATCGTTACGAATCACAGCCAAAGAGCTCTCATTGGTTGGGAACCGTGGCAAGAAAAATGCCATCACTGAGCGCTTTTCCAAGTAAGTGATATTCACTTTTTCTCTCCATATTATCAGTGCTTATTGCATGGCTATGGAGAATATTTAAAGAAAAAAAAAGTTGTCTTTATTTGTAAAGATTATCTTATGAATAATGCATTTTTGATGGTCACACAGCTAATTTTCTGCAATAATCTAAAAGCCACTGAAACATCCTTTTGACTTTTTGTTGAGGGAACCAGGGTGATGCTTATTAAAAAGAGACACAATAAAAAGACAACCTGGATTGCTATTGGGATTGTTATTCATTAGCAATATAATGAAAATGGCCCAACCAGTTTAAAAATTGTCATAACATTAAAATATCATCACAACCACTGAAACTGGATTTTATGTTAAAAATTTATTTTAAGGAATATATTGTATTGTTGTCAAAAATGGTTCAAAGCAGTGAGCCCAAGCATGGGTTTACTTATTTTATTACAATATGAAGCCTATATGAATATTGTGTATAAAATTACAGCCAAAGGACTGGGGCATGATTGAAATAGGCAGACTGCATATTTTATTTATAAATGTATGATTTATTCTTTTTGCTTATTTTAGTGTTAATACTCTAAACCGTAAAAATCACTTCAACAATGCCCATTATTTATTATAAAGAAAATGACATTTTCATGTAGCGTCTGCTGCAGAACCAAATGTAAAACCAGCATCTGTAATGTTAGTTTTGTAGATGCTTTTCATAATTTTGACCACCAGATGGCCACAAATTAAACTGTGCTGAAAAGCTTTGAGTGGTGAACTGTTTTAACTATACAGTGTAAACAAAGCTTTTATTTGCCATCACTAGAGAACAAAGCTGTAGGATAGTCATGAAGATTCGGGAAAAAAAAAAATCTTAATGAACGAAAATATAAAATGCAACAAAAACAAATAATCACTCATAAATGACAGAATCCTGATAATCCTGAGAATGTCATCACAAATGATGATACCGGTCATAACAAATGTCATGTTAGTGCCAGTAGAGGGCAGCAATTTACCATATACATTTGGACCAACATTCATTATTTTTTTTCTCCTTATTTTCACTCCATAAGCTTTGAACGACTAAGCAGTGTTAATAATCTGTTCCCATATTGGATTTTAATTAACTTGTATTGATATCATATCACTAAATGTATTTTTGAGCTGTAAACAAACTGATGCCCCCCCAGAATGCTCTAGTGACCTTCCACTGCTTAGGCAGTTCTTCTTTTTCTCAAGTGTGTATATCTCTGCCTTTAGTGTCATCAAAGTGTTTTTCAAAAAGGTTTCTAGGTTTCATCTGATATTAAGCAGACAAATATAGTCCCACACAAAACTCTTTGTCGGAATGTTTTGTTTGAGCCATAGTGTTTATACTTTTCAGGGAAATCCTTATATTTGTTTGTGCATATTAAACCAAAAATGTATTCTAATGTTGATTAAAAATGTTTAGCTTGATTGTGATTATGATACTTAACATTTACTTATACTTTTCTTTTTCTTCTTTTTTTCAGATATCAGAAAGCCGCTGAGGAGGCAAGTGCAGAAAATAAAAAATCTGTAAGTTTTCCTGGTTTTACTAGAATTTAATGTAATGGAAACTATTTGTAATTTAAAAAGGCACTCTTGGATGTCCAACCCCATAAGTCTCTAGGTTACATTTTGTTATGTAAAAAAAAAAGAGAGAATAACTTCATTAACATTTCTACGCTTGCATTTTACAAGACATGGCATGAGGGTTGAGTATATGATAACAGATTTTTCATTTCTGGTTTAACTATTTCTATACACATTTAACTTTTAAAACATCAGAATCAATGCAAGACATTAAGTTCCTTCAGAAGGCTAGTCAATAGGTGGTTTACTGTTAACTCCCAGTAGTTAGTCATCCAAACACATCAGTTTATATGTAGTCTTTATGTCCTGATTGAAATGTTTTCCTGTTTTTTCTTCCCTTAAATATGTGTTTATGCTTTTTTTTTGCCTATAAGTTTACAGCCTCATGTATGCCTCATGAAATAGACAGGAAACAGTTAAATTTCATCACATGCATCATTTCCTGTATGCAGGTTTCACTACAGGCGCCTGTTAATCATCTCCCACCCCTCCATCTCACACACATCCCCCCTTTCCTTTCCTTTCTCTTCTCTCTTTCCTTCCTTCATGTGTTCAGTTGGGCTGGACTAGTTCTTACAAGTTTCTTGCCTGCTGCACATCTGGCAGAGCTTTATCACTGATGTCCAGCGCCCAAGGAGCTCGGAGAAAGCAGAATAGAGAAAAGACATAAAGAGTGCCCTGTCCATCCAGGTCTTTCCTCTCATCTCCTACAACTTCTCTTTCTGGCGTCTTGTTTCAGCATGGTTTCACAAAGACTGTTGCATGAATGCAGTCCTCTATCTACTGAGCCTGTATTGACTTGGAGTAGCGAGACATTATGCGGAAGAAAACAGCCATTCTTTGTTTTAATTGTCTAATTGACCGTTTTAACTCTTTTAAACACATATAAGAAGAGTTTGGTGTTGGCATTCTGCTCGACATGTTGATGGCAGTGATGTAATACACTTTGAAATAAAAGCAAAAACAACAACTATCAAAAAGTTGATTCATGGATTCTTGTACTAAACCTGTGATGTAATAACGTCTGGTGGTTTGATGAAATGATAGTGTTTTGGGGCAGCGTGTCATTATTGGTTTATTATTTGGCGAGTGCTCCAGTAGTGATTAACCCTTGACTGTGTTTATGTGGGGATGTTTTAAACAGCTGCTCTGAGTTTTCCTGAATTGTTGTAGTAGCCTCATGTGGAGGTATTGTCCCATATCTCGTCATGTTCAAACATTTGCCTGTCGCTTTGGAGTTGAATTACCTTGACACTTCTGTTCCTAACAAAATATTCTAAAATATTTAGTGCTTTAACAAACTTATTTCAGTTAGCGGTCAAGGTATAATTTAAAATGTTCATTTAGTTCAATATTTTGATCTTATATTTATATTTATTTCAGCTATATTTCAATTAACTAACTAACTAACTATTTATTTATTTTGTTTGTTTGAGCAATGTTATAATGGTTATGTTTAAATTCTTGAAATGAGCTTTGTAGACTATATAAAACCACCCTTGATAGCAGTTCTGCATTAGACCACAAACTGTGCCATTACAGACAATGAATGTTTTATTTGACATTGGGAGACGAGTAATGTTGCATATAATGTAGGGTTTTTGTAGCATATTCCAGGTCCAGGATGCATTTTTTCATCCTGAAATACTTGAAAAAATTTTAAGTAGCTCTCAAATGTTTTTTAAAGAACATCTTTTTTTTTTCTTCTATAAGAATATAACTGGCACTTTGGTGTTATCTGATGGTATGGTGGTTCTTACTAATCAACTCAATGATAAACACCTCAAAGGCTGTCTTTTTGTGTTACAAAACCGTAATAAGCATACATTTTGACATTTTCATTATGAAATAATTATCTGTATCTATAGTGAAAAGATCATTTGTCCAATGTAGTTTTCTTTCATCCATTCAAATCTACTTAATCTATCTTAAAAATGCTTCTTTATTTGTCCCATTTGCTGCTGGCAGATTCACAGAGACTGTGCTGAAACCACCTTTGATAATGGAGAACTTTTCCCCCCTACATTAGCAGTTCTTGTGTCTGTGTTTACATACTTGTGTACAGTATGGTTTTTTAGCACTAGACCTTTAATTGTTTACACTTATTCAAGTTCTATTTTTGTGCTGTTTTATTAACTGAGGAATCAGTCTAAATTTGATCACAATGAGTTAATGGCTAGTTTTCAGATGGAGGGATATGGATTGAAGTTTTACAAAAATGTTTTAGTTCTATATGTGTACTGTCATGCTCACCTTGGTACACGCAAAACATGTTATGCCACACTCAGCTATAATATTCCCCATGTGTTTGCTTCATGCTTGTGTTGTATGCCGTTGATGATATCATGGCACTGGTATGCACTTCCTCTTTAAACCCCACCAGATCTCTGAAGGAGTACAAAACCTTCGACAGACTACACACCGTTTGTTTCTCCATCTGTCTCCTTGCCTTTTCCCCTCACTGATGTAACCTGGTTTATTTAAACATGTTCATGTTCTAAATGTATCCATTGCTGAATTTCAAATTTCAGACGTAATGTAATTGAAGGGTGTTGTTACTCAGTGGTGGTCTTCATCTTGTTGCATTTATAGTAGGAAAAAAGTGGGGTAAACTTTGACACACACACACACACACACACACACACACACATATATATA